AATGAAGAGGCCGGGGATCGTATCTGGCATGTAGCTAAAGAGCTCCAAGGAACTCGTAAACGCGGGGTCTCTGCCTGACAACGTGAGCTGCGCCCCCGAAGGACGCGCACAGGTTGCAAGGGCGGTGACAACCGTGCGGACATTCTGCCGAAATCGCTGAGAGGATGGGGGGAAGATCACGGGACAGCATAACGCGAGTGCTCACCCGATCAAGGTCGATGACGCCTCTTGACGTCGGTGCGTGGTTTTGTAAGTGAGTGCAGGACCTAAGCGAGAGTAAGGTTGACAAGAGAAGTCCGGTAGAAGCAGGATAAGTTCATGTCCGCGCTTGAAGAGCTCGGATGGACGGCACGGAATCACATACCTGCTACTGCTAGGAAAGTCTCCGCGTGGAGGAGCAAGTCGGGAGACTTGGTCACCGGTAGGCGAAGCATGGTCCGTGTCGATATGCAGAGCCAAGATGTCCGAACGAAGCAAAGGAGCATGCAGCAGCCATCGACGAGGCGTTCTATGCGGGGACGGGTATGCCGGGTCCGAGAGATACGATGTCGGCAAGAGGGCGTAGTAGGCGGAGAGGGTACCAAAACGCGACGGAGGCCACATAGGCTGCGCCGGAAGCAAATGTCTCCTGAGAAATTTTTGGGAAGGATAGTCAGCTGTACCTTTAGGTTGAAGCTCAGGCGAGCTGGCAATGCGCACCGGCTGATCTATTCAGACCGGCGCGTTCAAGAAGCCCCCGCGGACACGCCGGAGTTCAGGAACGGCTCAACGACCGACACCATGAGCGAATGACGGAGGGAGACTGGTTGCGGTATGGTCAGATTGCTAGTGGCGTCATGACCGGAGTCAGAATGGCTGCAGATCGACTGACCTCGTGGCTTTCAGGATGCGCTGGTTAGAACACGCGACCCTGTGCATGTCTATTAGTCCATCATCGGCGGCATAGGTGCTTCGCACGGCAGGACTCTAGTGAGAGAGCATCCGCAGTCCAGATGGTCGCGAACGGGCTCAGTATTGCGCCGTGCCGCGCTATTGAGTCGCATGCGGCCCGCCGTTGCAAGAGGAGGTTACCGACGCTGAGGCTTTAGGTGACAGCGGTTCGTCCGGATGGTTACGCGACGGGACCTAGAGCCAACGCTGGGATAACGCAGAGGTTGCTCTCGCAGACCCGGCCAGGTCGATCGGCTACGATTATGCGTCAGCTCGTGGAAGGAGGTCAGAACGTCGCCGCACGTACCGCTTTATGGAAACCGGGTCGTGCGCTCGACGATCGTCCCGTGACGAGGTAGATAAGGCGCAATGACCACAGTACAGGATAAGATATAATATTAGAGACCATCTTCCCATGTCTCTTGCTGAGTCCTTCCGCCGGTCCGCAGTCCACTAAGCCTTGTGGTTCATCCGACTTCATCGGCGCTCTTTGATGAGATAGCGTCGCGCCGAGAGCGTACAAGAAGGCCAAGGAATACGGAATCATGCAACAAGGAAGTCGCAGAGCTTGGCTCTTCCGGGACGTGCTATTCAGACCTGTACATAGCGTGTGAGCGTGCTCTTGCAAACCCGACATGAAGCGAAAGCGCATTACGTGGGCGAGCATAGTATGGGAATGAGTAGTCACCGAGTGTATTAGAGTCACTCGTCGGCGACTAGGTGGTCCAGGTCAGCAAGGGCAGAATGAAAGGGGCGGACTTGCTCACATATTTGGACGCGCGGACATTCTCACGACCGCGCCGCTGCTGACCGGCCGCAGAGCCTGCTCGGGAGCCAATTTGCATAGCGTGTGCACGCACAAGACGATGCAGATGAAACACGCCAGAGCCGTTGTCGTAGGGGGGGAAGCGGGGAAGCAGGACATACTATTCCAGTAGGGGCTTGCGTCACAGGTCGCCGCTCATCGCGGGCGACATAGCGGTAGAACGGACGTGATATCCTGATCAATTATTCTCGCGCCCTGGAGGCTGTCACATTGCCTCGAACCGGACGCAATATTGACTGTCCTGGGTACCTACCGACGTCAGGTCACCGTCAGTCCTCATCATTGGCAGGCGTGAGCGGGGGGAATACCAAGCAGTCAGAACTGAGACCGCCCGTGTCGGGCTGGTTCCTGAGAGCGAAGCAGCCTTGTTCCCTGAGCCGAGCATGTCTTAGAGTGGGCTTTCGCCATAAACCGCAGACTTTACACATAACCGCCGTGGTGTGGGAGGAATTGCGCAGACGCTCTCAAGCTCGTGGCTTTGCTTTGCGATGTTTACGTCCAAGAAAGCGCGCGGGGCGCAGTACAGCCCGAGCTTCCCGCCCTCGTCCACATAGGCCCCATGGCCGTATAATCCCTCCTCGCAGTGTTACGGAGTCAGAACCCCGGCTCCTCGCAACCGGTAAGAACGATACGGACGTGCAACCACCGACTATCCCGACGCTTCCGTGCACTCTACCCACGATGTCCAAGGATGGGAGGGCTACTCTGCGACGCCACACAGACGGGGTCCGGAAATACGCAATATTTGCACGGACAGACAGAGAAAGAAGACCGACCTCCAGATACCTCATCGAGACAATGGCAGGTCCAGATCCGATGTACCAGCGCTGCGCAATGTGCGCCATCAGTGCGCTTCAAGTAGCAGGCTCAACAACACGCATGCTCGGGCATCCTGTCTGGATACAGGATACAGGAGCGTTCTGGTGAGAATTAGTTGAACGAAATCTCTAGACTGAACCCCTACAATCCAGATCATGTCTCACTGCGCCAGCGCAGTCATCGGAGAAGAATGGCAGTGCGTATATGGCGCAACGAGAGGCCTAAAGCGCGGGACCGCACCCTGTGGATGTCATGACGCTACCCCGTTCATCATGGCTCCGAGTTCGCCGTGTGCTGTCGACGTGGCACCGGCCATCGTCCATCCCCAGAGCTTGAGGTTTCCGTGATGTATCAAGGGCTCTCTGAGACGATTCAGCGCCACGGAGCCGTGAAACGAAACACTCCGTGAGACTTCCTAATGTTATACTTCGAAGTGTACAGGGGGGGCGAAGTCTCGCGGAGCGTCGAACGTCCTGACCAGATCTCCCCGGATGGGCTTGGCAAGGGGGGATCGCAATCGAAATGACTCGCACCGTGTTACTATGACTCACCCTTTCGACAGCTCAGGAGGGCGTGTGTAGTCGATGTTTGGCGACGAACTGCGCGGAACGGCAGCTCGCACTATTCATACATCAGGCTTGTCCAAAAGGTCACGAATTGTTAGATGGTCTTCAATCGGGCGTGTTGGTAACGATAAATGGCCTGGCGAGTATTCAGTTTGTTCCAGTCAGGGAAGCAGCGGGTCGACGATGAGGTAAATAGACAAGTTGCGATAGACGCTCGTGCGCCTCGTGCTATCAAACCTCCATCCGGCGCGCATGTACGCACTTACGGGTACTGGTAGACATTTGAGTACGAGCCACTGAAGAGTACAGCTGAAGTACATTGCGTAAGTTGGCTGCTATCGCTAATCACTCAGACCAAGATTTGTCGCAAGAACTTGCGGATGAATGATGATAAAGTCGGCATCCAAGATACGAATGACCGCTCCCACAGCGCAACCGCCATGTACTGAGAGGTATTACCTGCATCTGTAAGCCTGTGCCGCTGTGTACCGTAGGGAGAAAAAAAAACACGAACAGACGGCATGGAGTCCAAGAAGCTCCAGTCCGGATCGCCAACTTCTTTCATGACGGTAAAGCGCGGTCAGTGGAGGCCTTGGTATAACCATAGGAATGCTACAATCCCCAGATGATAGTCGAGGATAAGAGATGCTTATGAGAACGGGAAAATAAACTTGCGCACGGCCTTATTCCCATTAGCCGACTCGAACGACTGACCTCGTCATTACTAGTGACGCGCTCTACCAACTGAGCTAAACGGGAGTCGTTCCAAAACACTTGCATCATATTATGGATCGCTGTAATACACGCCGGGACGATGCCACTGCACCAGCACGCAAGTCACGGCTATCGGCTCGGATTCTCAAATCACAGCCGTGGAGGCCATGCAGACAACACAAACGGCTGAAAGTGACCGGAGGTAAAGGCATGGGGGATGAGATGGCTGCGGTCCGTGCTCGCTTCCCCCCGGGTGAACTCGAGGGTGGTACTCCGAGCGAGGTGGAAAACGAGTATTGGGCGATGACATGACCTTTTCTCCCTGGGCATGGGCTGCTGGCTAAATTGTTCAAGGTCCCACACTGGTGGACGAGGATGGTGAGCAGACGAGGGGCCTGTCCGACGACTCCGAGTCATTTGCACTTACGCGCCCGAAACCAGTACTCAGTCTTACGCTTCGCGGCCCAGACTTGTGAGGTTGCCCAATTCGTAGGCAATAATAAACATGTGATGAGGATGCGAATACAAACTGAAAAGTGAGTAGTTGCTCAGCCTACCATGCGCCACGATCGCGTCAAGGGACAGCCGCCGCCCCCGGGCGTGCCCTGTTATGCATCGAACTTGCCCGTCAGTCAATGCATCCGGTGTCATAGATGGCCCCAGATAAGTTGTTTTGCGGATGGGAATCAGCTGGAGGAGGGGGTCAAGGTCCCAGGTTGAGATGGTGGAGATTGAATGCCAAGTCACGTCAACCCTTAAACCGTTAACATTGCCTGCATCAATTTACTCTCAGTACGCACGGTACAAAGGCACAGTACAAAGTGAACAATTTTTTTCATAGCAATAGCTAGAATGATTTCCGGAAAAAAAGCAAAAGACCGACACGGTCGAATCAATTATATGTTTCCGGTCGCGGCGTTGACAGGAGAGTCGGTGCGGTGAGTCCACTTGGTAATTGGCACGAGCGACGAATTGCTGACTTGTGGACGACGCGTCCGGCGGAGATCTGTCAGTATGATCCCTGGTTAGTATGTGCGACGGCGGCAGCAAACGGACCGCCCTCACTCAACGTAGCATCGAGAGACGTGTTCTCATAGCGGTGAGTCCAGGTTCCAAAAGGAAACCTCTTAAAGATGAAGAGCATGTTCCCATTAGCCGACTCGAACGACTGACCTCGTCATAGGGAATTCCGGAAGTACTAGTGACGCGCTCTACCAACTGAGCTAAACGGGAAGTGTAGAGATCACCGCTTGTTTAATTGAGGTCTAGGCGCCACCGACGGGACCTGAAGGCCTCAAGTTCGGCCAAGGTCTGTTGCCAACGTCATCAAATCGACCTTCAAGTGTCTTGTCCACGTCCCACCACAGCTCCAGCGCATCATTTTCACGCTCTATCTCGAAACGGACGCGGACACGGACGTACTGTCGCTCCTCTCTGCATGACATCGGCTCGACGAGGCGGCGCGGCGCTGCGTCTCACATATCTCAACAGCATCGTCTGCATCCCCGGGGAAGAACGGGTAAGCTTTGACATGAAGGAGAAGACGGATTACCTTCTAAGATCTCTCTTCGAGGCGTCGCATTGACCCTGTGAGCTACTCGAGCTATCCGAGCTGAGCAAAGACAGACATGCTCAGCTTGTGATCAGCGGACTCCCGAGGATCATGTATGTCGTTCAAGACGATCATACGGTCACCCCGTTACAGTCGGAAACATGATGGTCCTGTCACGATACAAACTCCCCGCCGGCCGTACCCTCGACAGCAATCGCATTGCACAGGAAACGAACGATTCGAATTAAAGTCATGCCGCCACCTATTCATGCACGGACTAAGCTTTCTTAGTCCAGATCGCAATTGCAATCGCTCGACAGGCCGGTTGCAAATGCGGCCCTGGCAATCTGGCCTATGGCTGCTTCATCCGACGGCAGCTCCGAGCCGTGTCCGTCAACGCTACGAAAGGTGTGACCGCTCACAACTCCAGTTGTGTCCCGGACTCTAACCTTCCGTGGCACTCACCCACCCAGCTTGCGCAACCTACGGGGTACATAATTACAGAGGCTGCTGACCAGCCAACCCCATCGCATACTCTCTCCCACTTCCCCACTTGCGACCACAAGCATATCTCGCACATCCTCCTCCTCCCTAACTCCGACCACCATCCACACTCATAGGTGTCCTAGTCTCCCGGATATGGACACATAACGCCGGGCGCACCAGCTTCCTCGACCTACCGGCAGAGGTTCAAGTCGAGATTCTATGCCATCTCGACCCCACTTCCCTGTCCGCATGCAGACTCGTGAGCTCTCCCTATTGTTGGAGCAAACCGTCGAGCGTCGTCAGAGTGAAGCAAGTAGATAGATTTCCGCTTGTCCTGTACGGTAGCGTCGTGGTACAGAGGCAAACGGATGGGGCATAAGGCGCCCATCCGCACACGAAAATCGTCGGGCGCGCTACGCTGCGAGCAAGCGCTCGCTCGCTCGCTCACAAAATCCAACACACCCCCACGAGCGTGCAGCTTGCGAGCAGCTCAGAATGAATAAGAAAAAACGTCTGCGCACCCCCACAATGTGAAAACAAATCTCCCTGAACAACCATCTCCGCAACTCAGTCGGCAACTCCAAGGTCTTCTTCGGCACTCCTGCGCTCACCCATGTTCAGCGACCAATAATCTGCGCAAACGCTCATGTGCGAGCACTCCAGCTACGTGCGCTTTGAGACGGTGACCAGCGGGGAAAGGTGGTGGTGCGGCGGCATCCCCAGCATCGTTATGACACGGGGAAAGGGGGGGTCTGTGGCGGCAAGGCTCCATGCGTCATCATCGACACAGGAGGGCAAGGGAACTCGTCCCGGCGGGGTCTTCATCGGCATACCAACGTCCGGCATCATCGGCACGTGGTGTTCTGCAAGGGCAGGGCGACAGGAAGGGTGCACTCATCGTCAAGAGCCACACCTTCCATTGAGCATGCATCGGCAGAGGCTCAGCGGCATCTTCAGGTTCTTCATCAACATATCGACGTCCACGACAGTCGACATTCGGCGGGTTCGTCAGGGAAACGACAGAAACGGGGGGTACTCATCATCAAGAGTCCCTCCAATCAGCATGCGGCGTCTGCAGCGGCTCGACTGGATCTCCTCGGTTCTTCGACTACTGCGGCGACTGCAGCAGATTCTTCTTCAGGTTCTTCGGGTTCTTCTTCTGCGCCTCGCCAGGCGGCTTTGGGGATCGACGAGGGCCAGCGACGACGGCGGCTTCATTCCTCGTGACGACGTGAGGCAGCTCAGCGGCGAGAGCTCGACCTCGTAGCCCTATATTTTACTAGCCGGCTAGACTGGCTAGGATCCGTTTGTGTTGGAGCAAACCGTCGAGCGTCGTCAGAGTGAAGCAAGTAGATAGATTTCCGCTTGTCCTGTACGGTAGCGTCGTGGTACAGAGGCAAACGGATGGGGCATAAGGCGCCCATCCGCACACGAAAATCGTCGGGCGCGCTACGCTGCGAGCAAGCGCTCGCTCGCTCGCTCACAAAATCCAACACCTATGACCCTATCCTGCGACTGCTGAAACTGAACGTTGAGCCTCGCAGACATGTCGCTCGCTTTCGAAAGCATGGCTGTCCAGTATGCATATAGTCTAGGTGTTTCCGCGATGACCGATGACGGCTCCCCTTGAGGAGTCTCTCTGCGAGACCGTTACGCCCCGTCGTGCGCTACCAACGCGGTTGGAAGAGGAGCAAGAAATCCCCTCTAGCATTCCAAATTCCTCAGCAAGGATCATGCTATCTAGGACACTCAAACGGCGCCTTCGCATACGCCGTCAAGGATTCCGATTCTTTCGTTCTCCCGCTCTATCGCCCACCGTGGATCTCTGGGAGGACTTGCTGGTCATAACGCGACTAAGCGATGACCAGACTGAGTACGTTCGTCCTCCTATGTCGCACTGACAGCTTACACAACGAGCATCATCAGATACCTCCACCACTTCGTCTCGATTTCTAGTGATTGTTACCCACACCCAGTCGCCGCTTCGTCCATCCTTCGGGCACCACGTACCACCTAGCAGAGCTATGCCATCATCGTCTCGACATCTTCTCTGATCTGGTGGCATGGGGACATCTTCCTGTATCGGACGAAGAGCATTCCGACTTGCGGCAACCGACGATGGAAGTTCAAGTAACAAACTGGAAGACTGGTGCTGTCGTACGGGTTCGTCCTGTCGCCGCTGCTCTCCCTCTATCTGTCTCACTTATGGCCTTTGGACAACGGTATCAAAGTCGCCAGATATCTTCCTACCACCTCATCGATCGCCAGCATATCCTCATCACACAGCACCGCGGCATCCACGTGTTTGCTTTCGACCCTGATCGCAGCGGGAAAGCAGAGGTATAGAAGTCCCAAGCGCAACTCCTACACCTCTGCTTTCCCGCCTTCGAGCCTGCAGTGCAGCGTGCCGGACTATTCAAGAGCGTCCTACACATCCCTCGCGGCGTTACAAGGACGACCCCCCGTTATTCCGCCCAGATCCATCCCACTCGGTGCTCGCCGTATGCATGGACCATTTTGAGATCAACTGCGGATGGACGAGCTTGCATAAAAGCGGTCTGGTTTCCTCATCTCCCTTGCGACGATCCGTGGCCTGAACGAAGGAAGACCGCATGGGGGCAACTCGGACGCTCCCTCGTTATGCCCTGGGACGACTGGGGCCGCGCGGGCGCGCGAGTCGTCACCGCGGGCAACGTGGACCTGTTTGACTTATCCATCGCGACGCACGGGTCGCGCTGTGTGCTCACGGTCCTCAGCACTCCGCTCAACGTTGCCAATCTGGTCCTCATCGATGCGCACCCATGGGCACAGCAATGCCATGGCCGCGGCGCGAGCGTGACCCTGCAGACGTTGCGACACGCCGGCTATCATGGTGTCAAAGTGGTCGACAGCACAGACGTGCATTCCATGCTTACCCTGAGCACCTCTGTACGGCCTGGAAAACAAAGAGCGTGGTCTTGGAGGGGAGGTTCCCATGCTGGATGGCGTGGTATCCGGCCCCGCCAGAGACTCGGTATAGGAGCAACCATACCGTATTGACCGGGCAGTACGGTATGGCGTCGTCGTAAGTTCTCGGACCTCCGGCGCGTTGTCTCACTACTCCATTGCTGATCCAGAAATCCTAGCGCAATCGGGGAGCGTAGCTCGGAATGACCGGCGCAAGGACACGCCGATGCATGCGGCGTCACTGAGTCGCTCTAGACCCGGCTCATGAGTCGTTTCGTGACCGCCACCGCGCAGCATTTCCCCTAACCTAGGCTCCCGGGTTTCTGTTCAGACCTAGTCTCCATCATACTAGTATAGAGCGCAATGGTACTTCGTATTCATAACAGTGTATCGCGCGGCGCCTTCGACACACAAGCCAAGACACATCGGGCTGCAGGCTGGGCTCTACAGTCCTCCTCTCCGAACTGACACAGCGAGCGGAACTCGCAACGTCAAGAGTTTAACATAACAATACAATTCCTTCAAGTCCATATCCACATATTCCGACCGAGTCGGAGCTACAGGACTAGCTAACAGTGATGCGGTGGTAGTTTCTAGTATACAGGTGGTATGTTGTTCGGGGGGTACCAAGAAGCCTTGCGGGATATATACGTGATTCTGACAAGGGAGGAGAGTATACGACAAGACGATGCTGGTGTTAGGACGCAAGAGCCACGCCTATGCGACGGGTATTGATGTGCAGAGACAAAGACAGAGACAAGGTCCAGGATGCAACAGAGAGGTAACAAGTACGAGGCGAAACGAAGCGAGGAACGGAGGCAGAGACAGTATGCGTGTGGAGCGGAACGCGAGGATGGGTGTCGTGATGCGAGTTCGGCTCAAGTGAGTGAGTGTACAGGTGAATGTTGCGATGGAGCTGGCTGCTGAAGAGATGGGTTGCGGTAGTGACCGTGCAGGATGTGCCGGGAAAGAGAGCCGTAACAGATACGAAGGTGTCGCGCGAAGAGGGCTCGTGCAAACTCTACTGTGATGTCGGATCCGCCTGGTCGGGCTTGAACCGCAGCCGCGCGAGGAGCACGCTCTCCCACCGGCCGTTGTTCCCAAACCTCGACACCTTCCTCGCGTACTGCGGGTCCGCAATCGGGCCTTCGTCGTACGTCGGGCCCCTCATCGACGCAGAGAGCTCGCGCCCAAACGAGAACGTGAACTCGCCCCACGGCTGCCCGACGCGCGTCGCCGAGAAGACGTT